ATCTTATATCTTATATCTTATATCTTATATCTTATATCTTATATCTTATATTTTATATCGTATATCTTATATCTTATATCGTATATCTTATATCTTATATCTTATATCTTATATCTTATATCTTATATCTTATATCATATATCTTATATCTTATAACTTGTATTTCATGTCAATGGGTCTCCGACGTTTGCTCGTTTGCGACTTGATATACCTTGTTCAGGGTATAAAAAGTTTCGGATAAAAAATTGTTACTAGATATTAAAAATAAACTTTGAAGAGGGAATCCCTTCAAGTTAAGCATTTTATTGGATATTTTATGTAAAAAAATGATTTTGTTATAAACAACACGTTTAAAAATTGTAAATATGCACAAAAACTTTAATACCGAAATTTTATATGGTAAATAAATGTTTGTATGCTTATGAAATCTTCAACTAGGTATGTATATACAAAGATATTTATTATCTCTTTATTTTGAATTTCAAAATATTTTCTTTTTCAAAATGCAAATTTGTGCAAATCACTCTCTTTCATACAACACTAGTATGTTGCCACAATAAACGATAAGCCAACTAGCAAAACAGAAGACTTAAGCAACAAACTTGGTGATAGAGTGTTAAGTCTGGCGCGAGTATAATTATGGGTGGCGAACAAAACAATGCAATGCAATATTATATATATGTATGTGTGACACACAATGGTCGATGACTGGCGCAGATTGGACGGATTTCAAAGTAAAAAAATGTAAAAAAACTGAAGCAGAAAGATTGTAAAGATAAATATGAAGAATTAAAAAATTAAATATATAACAAAAAGTTGACAAAATGAAGAGCAAGAAAAGCAAATGTGTATATGTACGACAAGTCACAGTAATGTGGCAAAGTTACCTTGAACACAATGAGTCGCATAGTGAATAGGTGAGGTTGGGTGCGGTGTGTTGTGGGCTGAGCTGAAGCGTGGCGAAATGAAGTGAAGCGAATTCGAGCAAGGTGAAGTGTTAGGGCAGCAGTACTGTGTACACATGTGTGTGTGTTGCATGCAATGACGTTCAGTGTGACAATCAGTCATGCGACAGTATTCAATTCGTTAAACGCGTCACCGATGTGACCACAATTTTCGCACGTTACAAATATGCGGCAGCCACAGCCCAGTTCGCAATGGACACTGCGACACTTTGCTGACTGCGAAAAAATGCTAATTGCATATGGTTTAATAGCAAATATTTAAAAGCAAAGTGCACCGCGAAGGAAACAGAAAAAATCGAGCAAAAAACGCGCATTGAGCTCGTTTATAATTAGCTGAAATTGTGGTAAAATTATGACAACCAGTTCGTGCAACACACGCTGGAAGTGAGTAATTTTCGATACGGCATTTTTAATTTCAAATATAAAAAATGCAAAGCAACCTGTTCGCATATGAAACGCCGCAAATGCTGTGTGAACCTGATAGCATTGTAAAATAGATTTCTTTTAATAACAAAATATTTGCTCTAAGACCTAAGAAAAAAATTTAAGAAAATTAATAACAATGCTTGTTGTAGAGTAACCAAAGGTTGGTGAAACTCACTTGGACATTAAGTGCACAGCAAATTGGTCAAGGTGCCGGCGAACTTGCTCTAATCGCGTAACATATGTATTCGCAATGGTTTTTTTCACTCCATTTCCCTCCCCTTGGTCGTGTGCATGCGGCACTGAGTAATTTGTAAAGTCTTTTTGTTACATATTTTACCACTATTGTTTGATGGTCAGTAACCCACAACAATTTTGTTTTTATGCTGTGTTTTTGCAAAGCGCAGGCATTAAATGCTTATATTTGTTTTGACCGCCTCCAGGGTCATGGTAATGACAAAGTCTACAGAGCGGAGCTTGCTTGAAGTTTTTTTTTATTTCAATCTTAAGCAATGAAAACTGTAAGTTTTGCCTAATGTTTTCTTGTAAAAAGCTTAAAAATGTACACATAATAAAATATACTTAAAAAATTAAATAGTTTTAATTTGCAAGTTAACAAACCATAATTTTTATTTTATTTTTTTTTATAATTTTTGTTTTTTAACAAATTATTTTTTTTTTAAATAAAATTTTTTTTTTTTGCTTTTAATAGTTTCTGATGAAACACAAATACAAAAGATTCCTTACAATAACTTTGATCGGTCAGTTTTTGTGATAGCTATATGCTACCACGACTCGATCTGAACAATTTCTTCGGAGATTGCATAGTTGCTTTGAACAATAATATATGCCAAATTTGGTAAAGATATCTCGTCAAATGAAATAGATTTTCATGTAAGCACTTGATTCCGATGGTTCAGTTTTATAGCAATTATATACCATAGCTATGCTATCAAAACCATTTCTTAGGAGAATGCACCTTTGCCTTAAACAATAACCAATGAAAATTTCATGAAAATATCTCCTCAAATGAAAGGGATATCCATACACGCATTTTATTTCGATCGTTCAGTTTATATTGCAGTTATATGCTATAGTGATCCGATATCGGCCGTTCCGACAAATGAGCAGCTTCTTTGGCTTAAGTAAAAGACGAGTATAAGATGTTAGATCGATAACTCAAAAACTGAAGGACTAGTGCGTATATATACTGACATACGGACAGACATCGCTAAATCGTCTCAGCTCATTTATATTTGTATATAGTATACTTGATAGGGCTACCGACGTTTGTTCTTGGGTGTTACAAACGACGTGGCAAACTTAATATACCCTGCTCCGAGTATAATAACTACATACATTTTTTAGTTTTAAATATCAAATATTTTACTTGATTTTAAGGGGCTACTCAAAAAATTAAAATTTTTTGGATTGGAAAATTTTTTGATCCAATAAATTTTTTTTTCTGTGTTCTTAGATTTGTTTCTCAAAATAATAAAATGTAAATCATTCCATAGAAAAAGAAAGTTTAACGTAAGCATTTTTTAAACTACTACAGCTACAAGTAACTCAATAAAACTGACCGATAATAATTATAAGATTAATGCAAGAAATTTAATATTTTTTATTTTGAATTTGATGAATATTATTTTTAAAATAGAAAATTATTCCAACAAAATTAAATTTTAATTCATTACTAAAAATTTTTGAACAGTTTAAATTTAAACTTAAAATTTCCAATAATTCATTTGACCTAATTGTAGCAATGACCTTTTCGACAAATTCGTACAAATCGTCTAAATAATTAGAGCGACAAGTAGACAAATACTTCAAATGCCAATGTATAACTAAAATAATTATGTGCACAAAAATTTTTTAATTTTTACAAATTTCTATGACCAATCTTTTTGTTGTAATACCACAACCGCAAGTTGCTAGATAACTATGGCTGCTGTGCGACCGGCATCGGCGTCATTAAAAGCGATTAAGCTGCCGAGTCAAAAGCAAACAACAGCTGCCGGACACATTCGACATGAATGAGCTGTGTACTCAGCCACATATACTATATATATACACACTTAAATATATACATATCCATATATATGTACGTCTAGCTAAAACAGAAATATTTGTGACTTAAAGGTGGGTGTTTGGCTTATAGTTTTAATTATTGAAGAATGAGAAATTTGAGTTGAAAATATATGGAAATAATTTCATTAATTAAAAAAATTTATGAGTTTTAGATATATTTAATATAGGAACATATAAAAAAAATTTGGTAATTTGCCAAAAAAAAAAAATTTTTTTTTTTATTTTTCAAAATATTCATTACATTAATTTTTTTAAAATAATTTTTGAAGTTAAGTTGTCAAAAATTTATAAAAACCATATGGTTAATTAAATTTTTTATTTCTGTTATTTAGTATGGTAGTCCTCATTATATTGACATTAAAGATATAAATAAAGAATAAAAATTATACAAATATGTTTTTGTAAGGTAGTTCATTAAATTTAGAAATATTAATGCCGAATTGTTAACAATTGTGAAGACAGTTTCTATAAATTTTTAATTCTATATAATTTTTGAATAATTTTTAGCTACTTTATATATTTTTTTAAAATAATTTTTTTAACTTCTCAGGGTTAAAATGCATTGTTTTAAAAGGAGTAACAACAAATGTTGAAAAATGATACTTATAAAATTAATTTAAAATATTACCAGAAAATATAACTAAATATAAATTGTTCTTGAACATTTTCAAAAATTGTAATGTATTAAAATATTTTATAAAAATTTAAAATATTAAAAGTTTTTTAAAATAATTTTCTTTAAATTTTTTTCTGAAAAAATATGAAAATATTTAATTTTTCATTTTTGGTTGCTTTTAATTTTCTTTTGCCTTAACAGCTTCAAACGCCTCCATTGTATCCATTAAATCTACACCCAACCTAAATGTATGCATAAACAATTAACAGCTTATTAGCTCGAGCAAATAGCAATCGCAAACAAAACAGCCGATTGCAACGATAAGTGTACAAAGTATTCGCTACCTACGAGTAAACTAAAGTCAAACTCCAAAAATGTTATATAATACAGAACAATGCACGTTTATATGTAAGTATACATACTATATACAAATGTATTTAAGTATATATTGTTTTTTATTTTTCGTGCCAAATTAGTTTGCAGCTGAATTGGTAGGGTAAACAAATGAATTTACCATGCAGAAATACATTGCTGAAATTAGCACAGGTTCGTTGCTTAAGTCTATTGTTTGACTTTCAGCAACTACTTAAGTGGCATACACATGCAAGCGTGTGCTTGTGTACTTTGTTTAAAATAATTTGTTTTAATAGGTGTTTAAAAGCTTCAAACTGATTGCTTAATCTTTGCTATGCTTTTGCCAAAGGTTGCAGTTGGAACAATTTTGTGCGATGTTCTCATTTTTATTGAACACAACTTTTTTCAACAGTTTGCAAATTCCTAACATATATTTTCATTTAATTTGTTAACATTTCAGTCAAATTATTTTACTCTTTTAATTTTTGTTAAAATGCATATTTTTCAATTCAAGTAATTAAACTCTTTACGTTTACGTTTACGAAAGTTTTTTACATAAAAAAATAAATTAAAATTTGTAATTATATGTTTTTTTATATAGTATATTCTAAAAAAAATTATTTATTTTATTTATTAAGCAGAAGTTGTGAATTATGTTTTTGAGAATATTTACTTGATGTAGAAGGCTCTCATTCCTTACCTTATGTATAAAAAAGATATTTATAAAAAAAAATTGTATTATTTGCATTCTTCTGAAATTTGATATACATATATATCAGTTATAAAAAAAGAGTAATTTTTAAGCCTGTTTTAAAATTTGTTTTCATTTTCTAATTTTTTTGTACTCTCTAAATATACATTTTTATTTTAATTTTTCAATTTCGATTATATAAACTCAAAATGGGTTTTTGTACATTGTAAATATTAATTATTTTTTTTTTCTCTTTCGAATATCAAAATTAAAAATTTATAACTTTGTGACAGTGAAAATGTTTTTTATAAATATTTTGAACTATTTTTGAATTATCCATATTTAATAAATATAATAAAATAGTTTTCTTAACTTACCATTACTAAATCACCAGTTTCCAAATGGCGCCGCATTAATATGGCTGCCATATTGGCTTCGTCTTGAAAGACTTCACCAATTTGTTCGCTGGATTCAGCATTCTGTAATATAAAGAAATTCATAAAATTAAATTTTAATTTTAATTATAGTGTTTCAATTAGTTTGAAGTTATTACTTAAACTTAAAATATAAACATATATTTTAAATTTATCGCAAATTAAATATTTTTTTAAAATTAATTTTATTATTTTGTGTAAATTAATATTAACTGCAAAACTATTTGATTGATAATTCACAAAAAGAAAAAGCGTAACGAAAAACAAAAATAATAAAAATGTAATGTATCTTTATTTTTATATATACATATGCATAATATATATTAAAATATATATATATATATTTTTTTTTTCGTTTTTGATGTATGTATATTTATATATAATTTTTTAAATATCCGGAACATAATGTCGTTAAGTTTAATTTATTCGGAATTAGGATACATGTTTTTAGTTTTATTTTCTATCTCTGATTTGTGTTAATTTTAATTTTTCATAATTTTTTATTATAAAAAAACAATTTGTATACTCTTGCAACATGTTGCTACAGAGTATAATAGTTTTGTTCAAATTACGGTTGTTTGATCACCTGAAACTAAGCGAGATATATATGGAGTTATTTATATTTAAATGATCAGGATGACAACGCGAGTTGAATTTCGAGTGACTGTCTGTCCGTCCGTCTGTCCGTCTGTTCGTGCAAGCTGTAGCGTAAGTAAAAATATCTGCAATTTTTTTAAAAAATGGGCGTAGCCACTCTTTTTAACAGGTTTAACGTGCATATCTCCTCAACCGCTTAAGCTATAGCATCCAAATTCACTCAGGCCAAATCCTTTTAGCACCCCTACCGATAGGGGGAAAATAGGTGTAATTGGATGATAAACCGGCCCACTGCCCATATAAGGGTTTTGCTAGAAACTACTAAAAGTGCGATAACTCATTAAATGAACAAGTCAGAGGCATTTAATTTTACACATAGGATGATACAATCAAGCTTTATAGGAGCCAATACAAAAATTGGTGATGGGCGTGGCATCGCCCACATTTGGGTGAAACCCATATCGCGGGATCTACTTGACCGATCCTGACATTTGTATGTTCAGTGCAAAAATGGGCGAAATTGGATTACAACCACGCCTACTTCCCTTATAACAAAAATTTAAATTCCATCTGATTTTTTGACTTTCCAGTATACATAATGAATATATTGTAATAAAACTTTGCCAAAAGAGTGCCTTTAAGATATGCCATCTCAAGTATAAAAATTGACAAAATCGGGCCATAACGGTTCAAGCAAATGTGGACCGCGGTGTGCATGGTTGACTTTTTACCGAAATTATCGTATAATGTATGAAATATATAATTAGAATTCGGAGAGAAACGTCTCCTTATTATTCAATCAGTTCAATACTTCTCTTAGCCCCCATATACCTGATAGCAAGATTTTTTATCCTTGCAAGTTGCAAAAGTATAAAATGTTCGGTTACACCCGACATTAGCCCTCCTTTTTTTGTTTATGGTAGTGTTCTATTAAAAACCTTTTCTTTATATAGAAATATTTTATATATTTTCTGTTAAAATTATTTTTTTTATAATATACTTATAATTATATTTATTCTGCTCAAACCAATCCAAATTACAAATCTTTATTGCAGTAATATTTCAAAATTGCTGAAAAATAATTTGTCACAAATCAAATTTCTGGCATAAATCAAAAAATATCTGCACAGATAAATCAGCTTGGTACAAGACTTTTGTAAAACATTGATAAAAAGTGCTGTATCGCAGCATAAATAATCACACTAATAAAATTATGTGCACTGAATTAACACTAATACAATTTGTAGTACACACCCCTTATCGTCATGCATATTCAAGTATTACTACAAATTGCTGCTTTTAAGAATCAAAGTGCTGAAAATACCCGCCCAACAAGTGTTCTGCTATGCTATGTCTTATTCTACATTTCAATGCCAATTCGAGGAGCATAAATCAATAATAACATTCTAAGAAAAAAATTATAATATATATTATAGTATGTAGGTATGTAGAAGCGGTAAGCAAAGAGCATTAATAATATCAAATAAATGATCAATAACGCTAAATTAAAAAATTTTTTTAGATACAAAAAAAAGCATTTAAAAATTTTTTGCTTAAAAAATAAAATGTACGTTTATAATTTTTTTTAACACTAATAAAGTTGCGAAATTTAAAAAAAAAATTGTTTTTGGAATTGAAAAGTTTTAAAAGCTATTCTAAAAGTAATATTCGTTTTTAATGGACTAAACTAAAGAAAAATCATTTGTAAAAAAGTAAGAACAAAGTTTTAGTTTTTTTTTGTAAAAAATTTTGGATTTTAATTGAAGAAATGGAACTTAAACGAAGTTAAGAAATGAAAACTTAGTTTTAATAAATAAAAACAGAAAAATATTTTACTTTGTTTTAGATATATATTAAAAAAATTTGTGTACCCTGAACAGGGTAGTTAGCTACGACTACACAATAAGGCAATGGTGAAATCTCCGAAGAAATTGTTCAGACGGATCGGAATCAAGTTCTTGTAAGGAACATTTTGTATTTGTGAAGGGTATTATAGTTTCGGTCCTACCGAAGTTAACGTTTTTTAATTTTTTTTTAATTGGCTTCATTTGAAAATGTTTATCAAATTGATTGTGTAAGAAATATACTTTTATTTAGAGACATAAAATTTTTAATTTATTTTACCAGCAAACCAACATTATCTCAGTATTTTATAAAAAAAAAGTGTTTAAATTCTTTAATTAAACACACAACAACTCAACAGATAATTAATAGCCCCGGTTATGCATATCGCGCTAACGTTCTTCGGCCAAGCAATGATTAGCCCGCGGCTAAGGAGATCAGTGCGCTTATCAAACGCTTAAGATCATGTCAGCATGTTGCCTACCAATGCGCTTGTTTTTCTTGCAGTATTTCAAGCGCAAAATTAATTGTGTTTGTTTTGGAAGCTGTCGACGCTGTACGGGCTGACCGCGAAACGTGTTAAATTGGCACGATAACATGCCGAAACAACAACAGCTCTAGAAAACACGTAAACAATAAATTAAATTTCTTAAAAACCAAAGCAAAAACACAAATAATAAAATAAAAAATCAAAAAAACATAACAGCATTTAACGGCACATTCTTGCTGTGGTCGCACTATTGTTATTTTCTTGTTTCATTGCACCCTCAAATTGCTGACGGTGGCAACCTTGATCGTTGGCCGCTAGCAATAACCAAAAAAATTAAAAAATAATGAAAAACCATTGACAAGTATAATAGCACAATGCCGAGATAATGGTAGAAATCTTGTGCATTTAAGCCAAAGCACACATAACCTAATCTTGAAAAGAATTTGTAAGAAGTCAGCAACAACAACAATTAAATGTAAAAAACAAAACTGTCGTAACCAATGCAACAAGTGCAGAGCGCCACTGAAGGCACAAACACACACACAATCATACACATGTTAAAGCATACAGTTTCACCTAAGCATACATAGCACAGCATAGCATGTCAAAGCAGAGCGCTGCTGTCGCTGCAGTTTTTTTTATTCTAATGCTAGCGGTCAAGTGGTCAGCAGCGCTTAGCCATGGTTAAGCAAAATTGAAATAAAACAATAACAACAACTATACGAATATACTCAAGAACTTGCTTTATAAGCGCTTTTGTTCGGTGTTTGGTGTTGTTTTTGGAGGTTATTGATGTGACACTTGCAATGTGGCCGCGGTTGACTGCTGGTTTTCACTTGTTTGACGTATCAACGTCCAAGTGCAACGCTGATTGAGCATTAATAAGCTGTTTTGGAGTTTTTGTTGTTGTTGATTTTGAATGAATTATATGTGGATCTATTTATGCGCTTATATATAATTTGGAACATAAAATTTTAGTTCGAAATTTAACAAACAATCAAACTATTGAACTAAATAAAAAAGCAAATTATCGAATTTAATTTAATATTGAATTAAAAAAATATATGAAAGTTGCATTCGTAAAAAATTGTGAAATATTAAAAAAATTCCTTTATTATTTTAAAACCCATAATTTAACACAATAGTACAACAAAGCTTTTTTATAAAAAAAACCTAAAAATTAAATATTATTATTCAAAAGTTAAAGAAAGTCTAATTGTTTTATATATTTTTTTTAATTTTATCATTCAAAAACATATCTACACAATTTCAAAAATTTTCTACAAAAATTTTTATACTTAAATGAGTAAAAACACTTTTATGCCTAGAAACTTTAAAAAAAGTTTTAATATCTTATGATATAAATGAAATGAAATGCTGGTATAAAGAAAGGTTTCTACTAAATTTAAAATTCTAAACTTGATATGTTCATACCTCAAACTTAGGGCAAAAAAATTTAAAAAAAATAAAAAAAATAATTATATATTTAGATAAAGGTGAAATAGTAAAAAATAACTTTAAATTAATTTTAAAACAATTAAAAAGTTTTTTTTTAATTTTAATATATTTTCAATTAAAAATTCTTCTATTATATAATATTTAAAAAATAAAAAATATTAAAAATAAAAAATTAAGAAAATAAACAAAATTATACAAAATGTATTATTTATAAAAAATATATTTTTTATCTACACTAATTTTTATTTTTTATCTACACAATTTGTAAAGTTTAAGTTCGAAATTAAAAAATAAAAAACTTTTTATATCAATCTATTAAAAAATTTTAAAAATATACGTCTTATTTTTATTAAGTTAACTACATATTATATAACTTCAAATCTCATCACCAATTTTTTTTTGAAATTTTTGTGTGTAAAACACATTTTTGCGTTGTGTTTTTGTTTTTAATATTCTCTCAAATTCACCTTTTCGCCCATCATCCGCTACAGCATTAATTGCCTGCTCTCCAAATATGGAAGTCAGCAATTATTTCAAGTCATTTTCCACCGTATCACTTTGTCAGACAATAAAATCGACTATTAAAAAGTGAAATCACGATAAAGTGGAGCGGTACAAAAGTACAGAACAAAAACATTTATTGATTAATTTAGTCACA